TCTCACATTCGCGCCTACGCCACTCACGTTGCAGACGAGCGCATCTATTTCGATATCAAATCGCTCCACCTGGGTCATCTCGCCAAAGCCTTTGCCCTACGTGAGCGTCCCAGCGGAATGAAGGTTCCTGGTCTCCGAACTGGTGCTGGTCGTGAAGACAAACGTCCTGCCAAGGTTCGTGGAGCCGCAAAGATGGACGGCGCGAGTCGCAAGGCCGACAAGGTGCCTCCAAAGAAGGGCATCCAGGACCTGGATCTACCGCTGGGCGCGGACGAGGAGGAGAGCGCGAAGATGAGGAAGGCGGTCAGAGCGAAGGAGAAGTTTATGAGGCACGCTGGTATGGCGTCGGAGTTCAACTTGGGGTAGTCGAGTGCAGAGTGTGGATTTTCAGAAGTAAATGCGGAAATCTATCACAAGCTATCACTGTAAAAGGGACTGCGAGAATAGAGTAGTTAGATGACTTCAGATCTAATTGGCAGGTATCAGACAATTGAGAATAGGTCTGAGATGGCTACAATCTTTATTAGCTGCTATGGCTTTTTACCTTTTCTAAGAATCAAATCCTTCAAAAGTGCAGTGTCCGCTTAGAGCTAGTAAGGTGCTGTAGAATTTCTAGATACATTCCTGGAGTAGATTACAGATGTAAAGCAATTCGAGATTACGTCAGAAAATTATGTGTTGTGCTCCTCAGAGATAGTGTTCAGCTACCAAGTGATACTTTAGGTACATAACCGCAGTAGTCTCATGTATCGTCTTATAGGCTTGTCTCACAAGCTACATACCGTGGAAGCTAGGGGTACTTTAGGTCTTTTTAGCAGGTAGTACATAATTAATACAACAACTTAGATAGCTACATTGTTAATTGGCAGCATTCTCTTTGTTCTTTTTCTCAATTGAATCCCTAAGGTTCCGGTAGTTAGTCGGCTATGGCAAGATGCTGTACATTTGAGACGATACGTAAACACCAGGGCTGTGAGAGACCGTATGGCTCTAACCAGGAGCGGGAGGTGTAAGCGCTCGGAGGGCGCGACGCCCTTGCTCTTTCGCACCGACTCACTCATCATTTAAAATATACCCGCTTTCGAAAGTCTGGCCTGGAGTGTTTGATATCACATCTCAATAGACGCCTTGCTGCGCCTCAATAGTAAGATTCCTTGCGTACTATATAGTGGCTTGTGGGTATCGAGAGTTCTTCGGCTTTCGGAACCCGCGGACGGGTCTCGACATATGAACTGCCCTACCGCTGCACACGCGACATCGTAAGCCTCCAATTACCCCTTTGGAATACCCACACTCCTGTGGCGTACGACGAGCGGAAACCTCAATATGGAAGGTGCCGCCACTTCCGGCGACGGCCAAGCAGGCCTGCGCGCGGTAGGTGTGGCTTGTGAGAGCCTTGGAGGCTTGATCTGAGTGCTGATTGTAATTTAGTGCGATCAATGCCGGACCCGTAAGGTGCGACATTTTCGATTTTTTTCATGAGGGATCTTGGAGTGATACGAATTCTTACACGCGATAGATCCGCTGCGATAAAGGAAGACCTTGTGCGAGCTGTCGTGCTTCCGATCTCATCTGCCAGGCTTCGAATGGCAGGCCTAAGGAGCAAAGGCAGCGAGTGCTGATCTCCAGCAAATAGTACGTGTTTCCTTCTTTGTTGCCCTCTAATGGTGCTCGTACGCATCTGTCTAGCATACACATCGTGCAACAGCAATTCGGATTAGTTGCGTTTATCAAGCTTTGGCCTTGTCATCAGCAACTATCTAACACGTTGAACCTGTAGTGAGTTCAAGATTGATGCCATCAGCGACCGGCTTGCCGGCATCGAGAGAGCGTTGCGGGATATGAAAATGGCTCCGCCGCAAGAGGCTACACTAAACAGTCACCCAAGCATATCACCATCACCATCAACAGGCCAGTCCGTCAGCGCTACGCCTACTGCAGAACCATCATCTAGTATCCGTCATTTCGAGGGAGATACATCACTCAGCGCCTACAGCTCATCTACCAACGACCAACTACAGAAAGCTTTTCGCAATACCCAACTATTGCAACAGGACCCAGATCTCGCCGCTGCCCTCACATCTCTCAGCCAGATAGTTTCAACCCAAAATATCTACCCTGGCGAATACGAAGTACCCAGTGTTGAGAAAACAGCCAAAAACAATCGGCGATACGGGGTTCCCCCGGCGGAGGTCGTCTCCAACGTCCTTCGAGAGTGCGAAGACATTTATGATAGTATCATCGGGCTGTTCTACCCGGTCAGACCGTACAAGGAGATTGTGAACCTGTGCAAAGATCTCTACTTCAATATCGATGACATTCCAGTGGCGACTCTCATTGTAGCGTTTGGCAGTCTCTACTTCATATTCAGAGTCTACCAGTTTGATTTTGAGAAGGGCGACCCACGCACCGAAGAGTTCAACGCGTATACTGCTATGTTTGTACGGAACATGATGGACTTGATAGGTCTCTTACCTGTACTCATGACCCCGACCGTGGACAATTTCGAAGCACTGTTACTCGGCGTAAGTGCCAATTAGGCGATCATCTGTTGAGATTCTATATACTAACGCTATATCAGGCTTACTACGCTGTCGAATCGTCCAGGCCTTCTTTATGCTCTGCACTCATATCGAAGGCCAGCCATCTGTGCTTGATCCTCGGTTACCACCGTGCAGATTCAATGGTCAAGGATTCACCGGAAACGCGCGCACGAAAGATCAATTTGTTCTGGTTTCTCTATACGATGGACAAAGGCCTTTGTCTCCGGCTCGGACGCGCATCATGCATACAAGATTACGACATAGCAGTACCTATGGCTAGCCTTGGAAATAAGGAGAATCTCGCTGCCGGTAACGGTCTCATCCGCTTTTGGTGTAATTTTGCCGGCATTCAAGGCCGCATATATGAAGAGCTATATAGCCCACGCGCATTGAGACAGCCCAGAGCCTCCAGAGCAGCAAAGGCTGACTTGCTTGTAACCGATATCAGACAGATGTGGAGCGAACACGATCGAATCGGACACATCCCTGGCACACCTGAGGAGGCACATGAGATTTTCATGCTAGGTGATAAAGTCACGATATCGACAACGCTCACACTGGTACTGCGGGCTGTACCCCCCGCTGACGGTCAATCCTTGTCATGCAGTCAAGATTGTATCGCTGCTGCTAGACAAGCTCTACAGCTTCACCAGACATGCGCAGCCAGGTTCAAAATCATGTCCGACAGGCACATCTTTGTAGAGTATCTGCACTGGGCTCTGCTGCACACGCCCTTCACCCCTTTCTTGGTCATCTTCTGTCATATCATCGAAACACAATCTACAAGCGATCTGGCCATGCTTGGAGACTTCCTGCAGACTCTTCAGCCTGCGCGTGGCATATCCAGTGCGATTGAGAAGATGTTCCTGGTTTGCGACGTGTTCCACCGCGTTGCTAAGTTGTTTATTGGTGCTGCTGCAAGAGATCCCAGTTTCTCCAACCCTACAACGCCAGACCAGCAGACACAGACCCAGTTGAGGAAAGAGCTCGATCCTTTTATGACAAGGATAGGAATCAACAACGCATACGATTCTGGCTTCAACGGCACTGGCTTTGACACTTACGCGGGATCAGCACAGCCAAACGCAGCATTTGACATGAACGCGTTCCCTTCAGGGAATATGGGCGAATGGTACTCCGAAGATCAACTCATTACAACGTTGCTAGGCAACGACTTCAACTTCATGGACCCAAACTCAGCGCCTATGATGAGCAACGGGGGGCAATTCATCTGATTGCCATGTGATGTACAGCCTCTTGTTACCTCCGACCATACGCGGAAGCAATGTAAAGTATTCAATTAGGAAAAAGTAAGATTAAAAAAAGCGTCTAATTGATAGTGTGACCATCCTGAAGATAGTCCTAGTTGTCTAGCACTCGATAACAAGACTCGAGTGGCTCCTGGCTATCGGGCGTTCTGTCGGAGGTGACAGGAGGTTGTAGTCACTGGATTGGAGGAAGACTGTACACCACCTCAGAACATCTTATTCACGCCGTTCCACTCTGGCTCGGCAAGATGCGCTCTGTACATGACACCCGGCCACGAGACCATGGGCGCCTTTCCCGGGCGCCTCTTAGCCTGCTCAACCACCGCGTCTCCAAGGACCCTTTCGATCTCAGCCCGCCCAAAGTCCCGTTCCAAGGCTTCCCTCAGCGGTTCTAGGACTTCGGGGGCAGCAGTTTTGCGCCCAAAATCAGTGACAACAGCAAGACGCACAAGTTTTGATAGCTCTCCGATCCTCTCAGCAATTTGCGGACTTGTGTGGCACGCGATGGCAGTCCACACGTCATGCTTGTCCGCAGCACTGGCATCGAACTGGCTCAAGTACTTCACCGCTGCATCGCCTCCCTCCACCTCAAAGCGCTGCGACCCATCATACTCGTCTGTCGTTCCGATGTCGTGAAACAAGCAAGCAGTGAAGAGGAGGTCGCGCTTGGCAGCATCTGTAGCATAGACTGACTGGGTGTGCTCTGCCAATGCTTTTGCGTAAAGGTAGACTCGCATACTATGGTTGAGTATCGATGGGGTCAGGAGAGCGGCGGCATGTTTGAATGCTGCCTGTGAGATGGGAGTTTGTGGCGTGTTGTCTGAGTAGACTCGGCTTGAGGGTAATGGTGCGCTTGTTGAGTTGGGTAATCGAGACGGTGGGCACATGATGATTCACCGATGAATTGAACGATGATTATGAAGCAACCGAAACTCAAGCTTTCAGCGACACATATATACACGAGAAGGAGAACGAGAGTTACATCCACAAATGGTAGATTCCTCGTGTAATCGACGTGCGTCACGCCTTTCCACCCGATCGGGCGAAGTCCCAGGCAGGGCTAAACTTCGGCCATCCATCCGCGCGCTCCCCACACCTCCACATCCCCCATCCGGCCTTCACGATGGCGTAAAAAATTCTCACACAAGCCTCGAAGACTCATAATCCTTGGAAACAAGGCAAAAAAGTATGGTCACTACGAGGGTCGAACTCGCGACCTTGGCGTATCAAGGGTAGAAACCTATTAGCACCACGCTCTAACCAACTGAGCTAAGCGACCGGGTTTTGTTTGTTGTTATCAAGTGATTGATGAGAAAGTTCGAGACTAAATCGTATAAATCGCCGTTTATTGTTCGTAATATATTTTACTTATACTTATGATCTATGGCATAGGCAAGCTCTTCGCAAACGCCATCTTGATCTCCTGATTGCTCCACCCCACCGTCAGTCCCAGCTGCAACAACACCCTCGCCTTCTGCGGGTTGTAATACCCGCTGGAGATGACGAAGTTGTCCTCTCTGGTCGGCGGCACCATTCCATCCGTGCTACGGTGCGACGCCACGATGGGGATCTGCGTGGCATTGTACACCTCCTCGGCGGCGAGTTTGGCTTTGCTGGTCATACCACCTGCGCCGACACCGGCGTACACAATCCCCTTTGCACCAGCTTCAACGGACGCATTCCACAGCGTGGGAGACATATCCTGGTGCGCGTAAAGCACGTCGACCTTTGCGAGGGACGTCACGCTGGACACGTCGAAAACGATCCTCCCCACGGGCTCGGCGGGCCCGTAGAAAAAGTAAGGCACCTGGTTGACGAAACTGCCTAGCTGGCCAGCCTCGGTACTGAAGAAGGTATCCAGGCTGTTGGCGTTGTTCTTGGTGGTGTAGAACGCAGAGCCGATGCGGTCATTGAGCACTATCATGGTGCCTCTGTCGCGGCCGGCGGGCGAGCTGGCGAGCACAACGGCTTGGTACAGGTTTAGGGGCCCGTCGGCGGAGAGCGCGGTGGCGGGCCGCATGGCGCCGACGCAGACGACGGGTTTGGAGGAGTTGACGGTGGATTCGAGGAAGAAGGCGGTTTCCTCGAGGGTGTCGGTGCCGTGGGTAATGACGACGCCTGAGATGTGCGGTTTGGCGAGCTCCTCGTTGATCACGTGGGCGAGCATTAGGCTGATGGTCGAGTTAATGTTGCCGGAGGCAACGTTAGAGACTTGGTAACCTGCGATGTTCGAGATGTTGAGGAGCTCTGGGACGGCGTCGACAAGTTGCTGGACACCCAAGCCGATGGAGTAGCCTGTTGTTTGGGTGTTGGTGGAACCTTGCGAGGCAATTGTGCCTCCAGTTGCGAAGATGGTGACATTGGGCAGCGACGCATTGATGGCTGTCTGGATGTTCTGGCGGACGAAAAGTTGGTGCAGCCCAGACTTGGTAAGGTCAATGGGTGATGCTGCCGCCAGGGAAGCGAAGAGTGGTAGTATCCTTGTGAAGCTCTTCATCTGGAAGTCTTGAGGACTGAGGCTGTACTGAGCATCCGTCTACGATCAGGTTAGATGGTCTTATATAGGCTTTGGATACAGCTCTCTTCTGCCCGGCGGCCTGCCTGCCTGCCGTTCCATTCACGAATACCAAGACTCTTATCTTGCGCCGTAGTGGACGTTCATCCCACTGCCAAGCACACCCGTTGACACGCGAGAGACAGGTACGCGAGAGACGTTTACATAAAGCCGCCGGGGGAACGTCGATGCTGTTCGTCGTTATCTGATATCAGTGGAGAAGATAACCGTAGTAATCACGCACTAGACTACAGATGGAAAGAGTGCCAAGTGTATGCTAACTGAATACTGAGAGGACCCTTGGCCCCGGGCCTGTGTTTTGGAGATAGGAAGTTGTAGCACTCCGACTTTGTGGGGAATATCCAGAGGTTGGGGTTTGCACTCTCATATGTCCGATATGTACCGAGAGTTGGAGTCGCTGGTTCCTTGCTGCGCCGAGAACGGAAAGAAGGATGAATACTTCCTCAATCACGTACTGGCTGTCAGCCACCACGTGGGACATAACTGTTACCCTTTCCTGACATGGAAGCGCATACGGATGGCGACGTATGTTTCTCGTTCTTCGGCTCCCCGAAAGAAGTCTGGAGAGAAAACACATGTTGTTCGCGACACCTGCTCTTCGAGCGAATGTTAACTAAACCTACACCTTTGTCGGCACCAAATCATCGCACCGCGTGTTACAATCTAACGCAAATCCATCATCAAACACCTCATGACGATCGTTGCGGGTAGAACCCGTTCAAGCTTTTCGCGTTAATCGAAGATTGGTCAAATAACATGGTGTGCGGCGTTTGGGTTGAGGACAGGCGGGGAAATCGAACGCCTCTCCCGTCTTCTCAAGCACGATAATATGACTCCCTTTCAGTCGCTGTGCGCATCGAGTTCGACAAGCAAGATCGCGTTGGCCTGGCTCGGAGTTTCTATTGAAGGCGCAGCAGCGTCAGTGTGGGCGTTAACTGGTCGAGCGACGTCATCGACCAACCGAATTGAGACCCAGCCGCAACACCACGCATGCAGTACATGTAATGACGATGCTCATCCACAGTACAGGCAGATATATCGTCAAGAGCCTCTAAAACCCAGGATCCGTAATAACTCACAATCGGTTTTCAGAAAAATCAAGATGGGCGATACCTCGATTGTGGCCAACAGGTCAGCATTGAGAGACTTCCTTGCATCGATCGCAACAATATCTGGGGATCTTTCCAACATCACAGCGCCGCCATTTCTCCTTGCTGAGAATTCGACAGTAGAGATTCCTCAATACTGGTGTGATCACGCGCACCTTTTCGTTCGGCAAGCATGGGGAGAGACCGAGGAAGAGAGAGCGCTGAACGTCCTTGAATCGTTCATGGGTGCACTGCGCAATCAGCAGTACGCCGGAAGGAAAGAGAGCGAAGGGGTGAAGAAGCCGCTGAACGCATTTCTGGGCGAGTTGTTCCTGGGGAAATGGGAAGACGAAGAGCTTGGAGAGACGAGACTTGTGTCCGAACAAGTCAGCCATCACCCTCCTATCACGGCATGCTACATCTGGAATGATAAGCATGGTGTCAGAGCGGAGGGTTTTACTGAGCAGGAGATAACGTTCTCTGGCAATGTCAGCATCAAGCAAAAAGGCTATGCGGTTTTGCACATTGACAAGTACAATGAAGACTACTTGATGCCAGTGCCAAATGTCAAGGTCAAGGGCCTTCTGGGTGGAAAGCCGTATCCCGAGCTGCAGGGTAGCTACTCGCTTATATCCTCGACTGGCTACGTCTCGAAAATCACGTTCGAAGGCAAAGGATTTTGGGGTGGGGGCCAAAAGAACAGCTTCGACGCAAAAATGTTCCACGCCGACAGACCGAAGGAGACACTGTACCATGCGAAAGGAGTGTGGAACGGCCTGTCCGTGTTCGAAGACGCGCGGACGGGGAAAGAGCTCGAAAAGTTAGATTTTGCGACCCTAAAATCCTTACCCTTGAAGATCGAGGACATAGCGGAGCAGGACCCCTGGGAGTCGCGAAGAGCATGGGGCGATGTCATTTCCGCTCTCAGGAAAGGCGACATGAAGGCAGCTGCGAACGCAAAATCGATCGTCGAGCAGGGGCAACGCAAGATGCGGCAAGAGGAGGCCGCGAGTGGAACGAAGTGGGAAGCGCGTTTCTTCAAAGCCGTCGACCGCGACGAAGTCTTCGACCGACTATCGAAACGCGACCCCAGCTCCTTCACCGTCGATCGCCAAGGTGGAATTTGGAAGGTGGACAAGGAAGCCATCCAGACCGCGCAGAAACCGTATCACGGAGACTTGACCCCGACCAATCAGCGAATCGCAGCTTCCGGAGGCAGCAAGCGCGATGAGCCTAGTAGAAATCACTCACGATCCCAAAGTGAGGCGGCTGCAGCAGTTCCCATAGCTCGTGTGGACACCCCTCAGATTGACGAAACCCGAGCATCTGGAGAAGAAGCGCCGACACCTCAAAAGCCAATCGATCCTCCATCTCCAGCGGATCTGCCGCTACGTCCACGAACTGATACGAGAGCGCCCGAGCCGCTTCAAAAAGGGCCGACGGACGCCGAGGTTGAGGAGTTCCTTCGTGACAAGTTCAGTGCAAGTTCACGATGAAATCAAGTTTGTGTACGACGCGTGCATTTCGTACTGAGGGTTCATAGCGGGATGCCTCATACTTTGAATGAATGATTAATTTTTTAATTGAATATGCGCCTTTCTCCAGATCTGGGTATCATCGTAGTAAAAGAATGTATGTCAACGCTGTATCAATCCGTGATCCACTGAGGCTATCAGTACGATAGTCTTTCGGATTTATGTTTTATATCCTTTTGCACCGTTATTTGTCCAGATGGCGCTGAAGGCACTGCGTGCTCTTCATCGAAATTCTCATTGCCGGCAGACACCGTCCACGTAGTAAATCCCTTTTCACTATTCTCGACAATTGTTTTGTCATCAGCAAGGTCGTCTCTGAGACGAATGGGCTGAAGATTCCCCATGCCATAGTCATCCGAGTTGTTCCTCACTGTGCCCTTCTCGGTGCGCATCAGAGTGCCCATGTTGAACACACTCTTTCTCTTCGATTCCCTGGCTGTAGAAGCAACGCCATACCACTGTGGATTTCCTTTCCCACTCTCGCTTTTTCCGGTTTGGCTCAGGCCGAGACGAGTAGATATCATCCGGTATAGTGGGCGGAGGGTTGCGAGACTGCCGGCAGTTATGCCCAGTGCTTGCTCTGTGTCACTCCAGATGGCGATATCGACGGTAGCCCACAGGAAGTCAGGGTTCTTGAAATCCATGACGTATGCCATGCGGCAGATAACTGCAATACTGGCGACACAAGCCATACCCAGAATGGGAACCAGCGCGAGTCTGGTGTTGAAGGACATGTTGAGGTCCCACACAAGGAAGACGGGTAGGATAGCGAACGCGAAGTCGCAAATGACAGAGACGACGCTGTAGAGGAATGTTAGGGCGATGATGATGTCGACATTAATGCACGATCCCGTTTGCGAAAATTTGTCCCAGAAGAAAGAAATTGGTGTACACTGGAGCAGTGTGACAAAGAAGAAAACCAGTCCGGTCAGGACGGTGAGGCCCATGACGATGAAGATGATCCATCGTTGGATCTTGTGGATCGTGATGCGGAGGAGGAACAGCCCGATGGAAATCTTAATCATGATCATGGCCCAGCAGTAAGCGACATAACAAAACCACCAGTACTTCACTCAAGTTA